TTCTTGGCAGAAAGTTTTCACAATGATCTTATCAGGAGCTGACCAATACGCAAGTAATCTTTGTCTTTTTAGAAGGTGAAAGAATACTAATATACTATTTTAATACACTATTGATTTAAAACAGAGATAACGTGAACTCATTTGATGAATAAGCCCAGGTAGAATAAAAGTATTATATTTAATGATAAAAACTCTAAAGACAAGCTTGTTTTAATTAAATCAACTTAATTAGCTTAATACCAAATATTTCCCTCAGATTACATGAACTAGACGCTAAGTAAGCATTTAGTTAGTTTCTACTATATTTTTGAGAATTTTTAAATATAAGTATTTGTTGGTTTTAGCCAATTAGAGATTTTACAAATTATCATTTGAAGGTAGAAAATACCATACAATGCAAATGAACATACAGACATATGCAAACAGGGACCTCCTAGCTTTTGTTTAAAAACTTCAGCCATGATATAGGTAATAAGTTTATCTGCTTAGGGATGGCTTATGCTTTTTTCTTATTAATATTTGTGAAGACAATTAAGATTTGTATTTGTCCTTACCAAGGTAACCTTAGAACCAGAACAGCAGTTTGTTGTGTTTTCAGGAAAAAAAAAATCCCTCATTTCCTTTTCTTTTCTCCAGTTTTAGGAATTAGGGGTGGTAAACACAGTTGGGCTCTGAACTGCTTTTAGACTGCATTGCTGGCTTTGCAAAGGTTTGTAAGAAAGAACAATTGCTCTCAATTACCCAAAGAATTGGTTGTAACAAGTGACATCACAGGTTAACTTACCTGTCCAACTATATCATCTCTAATTTCTTCTTTCCCTCTGGGCCCATAGTTTCATTTAAGCTTAAGAGAAGCACCCCTCCCCCATCAACTTCATATTAGGTTCTGAATTTCAGTTTACAATTTGGCCAAATTTTTCATCACAGAGTTTTTATATCTTTTGAAATGTTTTGTCAGGTTTCAGCTGGGACAATGGTAAATATTTCTGGAAGTATTAAATAATGCCTTGGACTCAAATGGATTCAAAGGGTGCAAAGGCTGTTAACTTCTAGAGTCATTCTCTCTGACAGCCAAAAGAAAGAAATGAAAACCTACATGTCCCAGGCAGGCAGAAAGCCAAGTCAAACCTGTAGGGCATAGGCAATACCCATCCCTGGGAAGAAAAAAGATCAATAACCAATTGGTCTGGATTTGGGAAGAAAGAGAAACTGGCACTATTTCCACCTTTCACTGGGCTTAGGAAGTAATCTATTTATAAACAAACTTTTGAGGTTCCTCCCAGAGTTCAAGAAATTATCTAATTATGATCCTCAGAGCAGGGAATGAAAGCTATTGGAGGACGACCACCTGTAAGGGGTAGTGTCAGTCTTATAGTCTTTTATTTTAGTTACCTTTAGCTCTTCATTAGCCTTTTGCAACATATCTGTCAATGAAGCTATTTTAAAATTTTTTGAAGCTTCATGGAAGGTCTTGAATACTAATTAAATGTAGGTATCTTATTCTGTACATTTGATTTGGAAGCCCTTGCTTTTAAGTGCACTTTTAAATGATCTCAACTAATTGGAATATTTCTCATAATTACCAGTGTAATTTTAGGTTACAATACCCTTGAGGGCTGGGAGCAATCTGGTAGGATCCAACCATAAACGGAGTTTAGCCCACATTGCTGTCTGGCCATATTTTGGAGCTTCCTACCTGATAAGTTACCAAGCCAAGTTTTTCAGACATGAAATTTTTAGGTTGTATTTAGTAATATTTTGGGTTTTTCCCCTTTTCTTTTATTTCCTTAAGGATCAGACAGTTGTACTTCCAATGTCCTGATTTTTTATAATATCTGCAAATGTCTGAAGGCAAACAGGAAGGGGTCTGAGTGGACTTCGATTCTCATTCTCATTTCTCTCCTGTCTTTTTAAGGATACCTTGATGACTAGCCATTAGAACAGTAAGAGAGTTCTTTAACATTTTTTTCTTTCTTTTCAGTTTAGAACTTTTTCTAATTCAAAAGATCCTCTGCCTGCTCTTGACAAGTGGGATCCTAATAGTGACTCAGATCAATATGAACCTATAAATGCAAGAGGCATTTCCAAAGGAAAGGGCGAAAAGATGCAGACTCTCACAAGACAGAGATAACTCGTAGACTTAGAAACAGCCATTCTAGCCCTTGCTGGTGTGGCTCAGTGGACTGAGTGCTGGCCTGTGAACCAAACAGTTACCGGTTAGATTCCCAGTCAGGGCACATGCCTGGATGCAGACTAGGTACCTGGGGGTGTTCGAGAGGCAACTGTCAGCATATCTCTCACACATTGATGTTTCTCTCCCTCTCTTTCTCCCTCCCTTTCCATCTCCCTAAAAATAAATAAATACAACCTTAAAAAAAAACAACAAACAAACCTAGCCATTCCAAAACACAGTGAATCACTTGTTCCCCCATTTTTGAATGCGGTGTTTAGATTCTCTAAGCTGGGATCCACAGCCTACTTGTCTGTCTGTCAGATGTATGAGTATATGCATCCTCTGACTGGCAGAAAACAAGAATGGGCAGCCCTGTTTTACCGTCTCTGAGAGGAAACTGATAGACATAGAAAACTCCCTTCAGAGCTTGAAATGGCTGGACAGAGAGCAAGATGCACCCCAGCAAGTACACCCTCTGGACGGTCCAGGCAAGAGAGAAAATATTCTCATTGGTCATAAAGGCCAAGCTCTCAGGACACAATACCCGTTGAAAGGAGAGACACCAGGCACACAGAGAAAAACAGAATTAACAAAATCCATGAGTATTCATAACAAGTAACCAAGAGTCACTAAGCCCAAGAAGCTAGTTTCACAAATATTTTCTCCTCCTAATCTATATTTAGTAAACGGAAAAACAAACAAACAACCTCTTACCACTCTGCTTCTACCAAACTCTGTAAGTAGTCCTCTGGGAGTCTGACTTGGCAAGAATTCTTACCTCTTTGGCTGGCTCGTGTCAGTGGTTCTAGGCCTCTCTGTTGCCAAAACTTCAGGGTGAGCAGGGCCCAACCAGCAAGGGGTCCTCACAGTGTGAACTTTCAAAAGCCTGTTGCAGAAAAGATATTCTCATAATGTGGCTGCTATAACCTGGTATAAAGTAACATGGAAATTACATCTTTTACTAAAAGTATTCAATATAAGAAACTGATTATTTATATCTGTATAAAAAGACAGAAAAAATATACCTTCTCATACTGTGATATACAAATGAACAGCCTGTTCTTTTTTTCTATACAAGTCTGTTATACATTGTTAATGTACAGTATATAAGCTCTGAGGATTCATAGTGAACAGAGTAAAATGGATATATTTGCTCTAAGAAAAAGAAACCAATAAAATAAGATTCTGGCTAAAAATAGTCAAGGTTTAGCAATATATAATGATTTATAGCAATTAACATAATAAGGCCTTTACTACTGTGCTTTTTTCCCTCAAGGCTAAGAAAATGAAACTAGCTTTAACTCTCCTGTTAGATTAAAAAGAGAGACATAAAGATCAATATTAATAGAAGCAATTAATTGATTTGTCTTTTTGCCTCTCTAGTAGACTAACTTTTTCATGTATTTATGAGGTTAGTCAACAGAAGGCAATTGAATGCATGGAACAAGCCAGACACAGGTGCTGTTAGTGGTGCTAAAAAGTCAGGTGTATTATGATGCCTTCTTTTGAGTTGAATCAGAGATCTAACATTCTCCTACTAGAATGAAGATAAATATTAATTATAATAATGGTATCACAAGTGAAACTGAGAGTGCTTGCAATAATAAGAGAACATTTTATTTTAATTTTGTGTATTTTCCTCTCAACTTAGAAAAATGGGTAAAAATACCGAATTGGAATATTATAACTTAATACTATTCTCAGTGCTTAAAAGATTCCCTTTTTATGAACTTTATATCAACTACTGATGGGTAAAGATTGATTAAATATTAATTAGTAAATATTTAATTATATATACCTCAATTTACATTAATTTTTTTTAATCAATAGTTCATTCGATACATATTTATTAAATCTGTTATATTCCAGGAGCTGGGTATACAACCAGAATTTAAAAAGGCCCCTGCTCTCATGAAGTTTACATTCCAGGGAATGAATATAATAGGCTCGGTCACAGGCCCTGGCCAAGTTGCTCAGTTGGTTAGAGCGCTGTCCTGATACGCCAAGGGTTGCAGTTGGATCCCATGTCAGAGCACATACCAACAAATCGATGTTTCTCTCTCTCTCTCTCTCTCTCTCTCTCTCGTCAAAAAATAAAAAAAAAAAAAAGGCTCAGACACTCCACATACTTCACTACATTTTCAGGCTAAACACAGCCAGCAAAGACAGTACTAAAAAAGGGCAAGATATGATTTAAGTCGAATATTTTTCAATTCTGTACTTCTCTGTGCAAGGGCATTACGGCAGCTTAGCCCGTAGGTGTGCAATCTTACTCAAATTACTTAAACATTACACCTTGTTTCTGCCTCTGTAAAAGGGATACAGTAATAGTTGGTCTCTCCTGGAGATTAAATGAGATAATGTGTGTCTAATGTTCTTCAGTTATTTGTATTACTGCTTTGGCTGTGGTTCCAAAACGTTCCTGCTCATTGGAATCTGGCGATTTTTTAAAAAAGCATCTCAAACCCTGGGCTGCACACCAGACCAATTAAACTCCAATCTCTGAGGGTAAGGCAGAAGCAGTTTTGGAATACCCCAGGTGGCTTCAATTTCCAGGTGGGTTTATTGATGCTTCCTAATAGCGTTTGTCCAGCTACCTGCCTTTACCAGAGTTTAACGGAAGTCAGATAATCGAGGTGCACATTTTTCTGTTCCATCCTGTGACTTTCTTCCAAATTCTTTCAAATCTTCAAGGGATGTGGGATGGGAGGAAGTCCAGACCTCTACTGCCTCCTCACAGCTTCTAAGTTTAGCGGGACCCTTAGGTATAGGAGGGCTGACATCTGCACCTGCTGGCGCCTGCTGGGCCTGCCAGATGAGAAGCAAAGAGCCGGGAAACTCAGGCCTGCCGGGGGCGCTGGGCTCAGTGCAGAGGCCGCTGAGTCGCGGAGTGGGAAGATCGGCAGCGGGATCGTTCCCTGGGGACACGCAACTGCCCGGGCGATCAGCTCGGGCGGGCGCTGTCTGTGCGCTCTGCACCCCTGCCTGTGCCCGCCTTCCACCCCACGACCCCGCCTGGGTGCCGGAGCAGCCGCAGGCGCTTCGGTCCGAAGCGAGCAGGGCCCGCCGCCCCGCCCGCCACCATGGAATCCGGGCCGCCTGGAGCCTCCGGGCCCGAGGAGCCGGGGCCTTGCCTGCGCGGCGTCTGCGGCACGGACCAGGCAGCCTTGGCCTCCTTGCTGAGCCGGGCCGAGGCCGAGCCCCAGCGCCGCGCGCTGGCTGTGGCGGCCGTGCTGCCGGCGGGGGGGAGCGGGGAGAGGATGGGCGTCCCCACCCCGAAGCAGTTCTGCCCCATCCTGGAGAGGCCGCTCATCAGCTACACCCTGCAGGCCCTGGAGAGGTAATGCGGCGCCAGGCGCGCCCCAAGGCCCGGCCCGGCCCGGCATCCGGCTCCCCGCCCTCCGCCCTGCCCGCCTAGGCGGGCCCGCGACACCTTCCCCTGTGGCTGTTCTCGCGCGGGCGCCTTCTCTCGGCCGACTGTGGGCCGACTCCACGGGCTCAGGCACTCGAGCTTGGCTTCCATTCCCGCTCGCACTTCAGAGACGGGCGCTCTGGACCTTTAACAGATGGGTCCGGAGGCTGGAGCTGCCCCACGAAGAACTACGTGCCAAGCCGTCGACGTGGTGGGGAGAGCCGGCCGGCGGCGGAGCTGGACTAATGGGCGCACGGGATGGGACGAAGGGACTTTAGTTCTAACTGGGCCTCCTGTGGGGCCTAATGAGGAGAAGCTGTTCTAGGAGGCTTCCTGGCCCTGCCTGTTTCTCATCGTTTCTCGCATTCCCACTTTTCCTCACCTTCTTATTCTCTCTCTCACTCTCTCTCTCTCTCTGGCATATTCTCACTTAGTCGTTCTCTGTCTTGCGCACGCGCGCTCTCTGTCCCTCCCTCCCAGCTTGCACGTGGGTTACGAGTTTTACCGGCACAGCTGGGTTCGTGGGCCTTTGTTCAATCACTCACACAGTAACTGAGTTCTTCCTATGAAATACACTGGTAATTACTATGTGCTGAAGGTGGACAGAGAATTTAATCGAAGGCTTTTAATGGCGGAAACGGGTATAGGGTGCTACGTTGAAACCAGCACATGCCTTATTTTATTAGGAAAGTGGGGAAATTAAGGAGGAAGAGGGAATGGGACAAGGAGGACTAGAGGAGCTGTAGTGTGGAGCTAAGGAGGTGAAAAGAGGAGTGTGTTATTTTATTAGTCTTATCTTGTTTTTAGCACTAAGTAATGCGAGGGAGCGGAGCGTGGGGTAAGGCTGGAGGTGTGGGAAGCAGAGGCCCACGTTCGTATCCCTGAGGTCTTAACCTCCTGAAGCGGGGAGCTGTGGTAGTATGTTTAAACCGTGGTTGACGTGAACCGTTTGCAGTTAAAGCTAGATGGCATCTTTTAGCATAGCCTTTTCAGGCGACTTTAAGGAAAAGGAAGCTAGTGAGGTTCTAGTTAAAGGATGAGCATGTTATCCAGAAAAGATCCCCCCTGCCATGCTTTCACACACCCGGAAGCCAGAGGGCCCAAGTTGCTTTGCATATCGTTATTTTAACTTTTTTAATATTGTCATTTGGAAAATGGATTTATAAAAATTCTTAATCACCCCAGATTCATATAATCTGCCCTGTGGTTACATCTGAAATTCATACAAATATTGAAACAGTTCCAAGGGCTTCCTCTCTTCCCTCTGTAGTCTCCCATTTCTCTGGGTAGTTGAGCATGGCTTCCTTGAAAGCATGTATGGGTCATGCACCTACAATATTCTAGTGTCATAGATACTATGACAATATAGCTCATTCATGCAGGTAATCTTATGGGACACAATAGATGTTGGCCAGCAGGATCTCTGCCTATCTAGTAATTAGATGTGGGGGAGTATAGTCATTTTACATTTGACTTTTCTTTCAATGAAAACTTCTATATTAATTTGCAGTTTTGCATTTTAGCTTATGAGGAAGCTTGAGATAGATGGCTACTAAGAAAAAAAGAGAAACTTCTAAGTAAAAGAATATTCTGGAAAGATGCCGTTTATGGAAAATAAGGCAACGCTTGTTTTCCATTTTTATTTAATTGTTAACAGCAGCCATAAACATCTTAATAGTAACTAATCAGAACCTCCATTTTGAAATAAACCAGGGCTCATTTTTGTCACTATTCCAATGCCTGAAGGACTTATGGAATATTATATTTTGGATATGTCTCAGGAAATCCTTGAAAAACTTGCATTCCAGGGGTGTATGTCTAGGTGCTTCTTAGCTGTTTGCAAAAGGAAAGCCCTTCTCTTCTTTTGGTAAAAGGTGGGATCTGTAGACTGCTGATAGTTTTCCTACAGCCTGATGCCAAAACGCCTAGGTTATTTCATCCTGAAAGATAAACTATGCAAGTTCAAATAAGGAAAGGAAGTGGAAGCATAGGGTGTCCTGTAAAATTCTTAGTTTTTGCATTTTGGAGAAATTATGCCTGCTTACTACTTATTAAAGGTGTAGCACAGCTCGCAATAGCTTGTCTAAGAAAAGATGTAATTGGGCGTCATCACTGTCAGTCATCTAGGTGCTACTAAGAGGGCGTCAGTTCTCCTTGCCCTGTAAGAGCTGTATGTGATATCTGGAGTATGAATTTGCCTTTCATAGTTAGGATTTTCCTTGCTCAAGCTTTTGCCATCTCACAGATGTTTGAGGAGTTTTTGTGAGTAATCTTTATTTCATAGTTCTTTCTTGACTAAGAAATTAAAGATACTTTTTGAAACATAGCCTTTATGGGTTGATTTCTTTTTTTGGAATTTTGAACCAACAAAGTGCTTGGAGCTGAGGATAGGGAAGGAGGGCACCCCAAAGTTTGGCCTCAAATACCTGAATTGGGATAGGGAAATGAAAGAAAAGTGACCAATGTGACTTTCAAACAATGCTATTTACATGTGTCTTTTCCACTCCTTCATTTACTCAAAAGGACTAAAAATGTATAGCCACACGAGGGAAAAATGAATGTCAGAGGAGGAAGAGCAGAGAAAAGATAGAATTCTGGAAGAAGGAAAGGCGATAGATGAGTGTTAACCAATCAGATTTAACACGCCCAAGAACGTGGAAACATAAGCCCTCAGGTAGAACATCTATAAAGAAGCAAGTCGATTGGTCATAGGACCTTGGAAAGTTTCAAGAGTTAGAGGTTAGAGCAGTGATTTTCGATCTTTTTTATCTCATGGCACTCATGAACTAATTACTAAAATTCTGCAGCACACTAAAAAATAAACTTTTTGCTGATCTGACCAAAAAAAAAAAAAAAAAGTATACTTTTGATACATTCACACTAGATGGCTATTGCGTTGACTGTTGTCATTTTTTTCTTTGACAATCTAAGGGAAAGAGGTCAGTGTCTCTGACTTAATAGTCAGGTACTGCATGTTTTAAAAATTCTTGTGGCCCACCAGTGTGCTGAAAATCACTGTATTAGAGGTATATGTAACTGAGAAGTTGGAGGAGACCTTGAGAGAAAAAAATCTATCTTGTGAATTGATTGGGAATTCAGATTTTTGTTTGTTTGTTTTGTGTTTTCCTGCTGGTAAAATGGGAAAAATACAGATTTTTCTAGTTTAGCTAAGTTCTACTTGGGTGCCATTACTTTGATAACTGTTTATGAAACTAAATGAGATTCAAAAGAATCTGAAACCTCACATATCTGAGACATTGGCTAAAAGCGCTACCTGTCTAAATCAGTTGTGTAGAAGTGTATTTATTGTAACTAGCCATTATATGTATGTATGTATAGACATGTGCAAATATATATGTATCTGTTTATATAAGTTTATGTATATTCTATACTCAGTTTATGCAACTGGTAGTTCAGATCTGTGCATTATGGGTATAATTAAAATAATCAAGTATAACAACTAAATTTTAAGTTGTACTAGGAACAAGCGCTTTGCAGAAGTTGATTAAAGTTTCTAGGAGTTTGAAAGTTTATTTTGGCCTTTCAGAAGGAATTGCAATATAAATTATTGAACCACAGATTATATAACTTGAAGAAAACTTTGATTTTTTTTCATTTTACTAACAAGAAACTGAGATCAAGGGTATTAATCTTTTACAGAACTATTTATGACTTGAGTTTCTGAAAGGAAATGTTCCTCTTAAGAAAAGAAGTCATGGGAAAGGGGTAATATTGGCAAGGGCATAAAGCTCTGACAGTTAAATTGTAAAATCCATTCACTGATACTCACACATCTAAATTTCACTGTTTAAAAAAATGTCTTTTCAGATCTTAAGCAGGAAGTAAAAATTCCTGCCAGTAATCTAATTTCTGGTTTCAAATATCTAAGGAAAGAAAGTGTCATTAAGGAGGGTTAGACAACCTGGACTATCTAAATAGATTAAAATGACAACCACGACAAAAGCAAGTTAGAGATGCAAATTTTGGCTTATTCGGATTCCTGGTGGTGGCCGGTGGACTGGGTGGGGCTGGGAAGTCATCTGACAATAGATTTGAACAATGTCTCACAAGGCCTTCTCTATACTCCTGAGGTTTCTCCAGTCTCCCAGGTGAAGGACATTGTTTAAGGTAACTTCTTCCTTGATATGGTCCCATGCTCATCAAAAATCTTATTATAAATTGGCTTCCCATACAAATCTGTAAGAGGAAAATGTGCTGCCCCACTAATAAAAAGCATAGTGCTATAGTGATAGTAATGTATATCATTTTATATTGAAATATTGGCATTCTAATTCATGTTTCTGTCCCTTATTAGTTTAGTTAATATTAATCCTCGGGTCTGATAACTCCAGATGAATTTGAAAGAAAAAATCTGTTTTGCCCATTTATATGTGTTTGTTATTGAAACTGTTTTTTTGTGATTGAGGTTGGGTTGTTATCTTATCTCTTGGAAAATCAATGGAAGTCCATTTTTAGTAAGTGTTTAAGACTCCATGGTATGTCTTTCAAAGTATTAACTTATGGATTATATGATTTTCTGTTTTCTCCTTTTCTTTCAGTTTTGTTTCCTGTGTACTTTAAAAAATTGTTCTCTCTCATTTCTGAAACCACTGCAAATTCTCTTTGAGCAAGATGGAATAGAAATAAATACATACATTTTAATCCAAATGAGCAATGTTGATTGCATGAATTAAACTGAACATAGGAATGGAGTAGGGAAGCCAGGAGAAATATTTAGACAGGAATTGACAGGTCTTAATGATTAATTGGATAAGGGATTCAGAAATAGAAAGGCATTTAGGAAGCTTTTCGTTGAATGATTGTTCAGATATATGAATGTGACTTTAAAAAATTTTGTCTTAATGCTTCATTAATAAAAGGGTCAACTCTGAGTCAAAGGAAGGAACAGGCTTATAATTTGTACAGCT